AAGAGGAGGAGGAGGAGGAGGAGGAGAAGTGAGAAGAGGGTCAGGAGTGTGACAGGATCACAGGGGATTTGTGAGGAGTGAATTGAAGGTCTGGTAAATGAATGGAGCAGAAGGAGATGAAAAAAAGAAAGAAAGCCTGAGATGCCACTGTTCTCGGAAGTGAATCTACACAGGCTGCTCATGGTCTATAATTACAGCTGAATGAACAGAATGAGAAATGACTGACTGAGAGAGGAGAGGTGGGTGAGTGGATGAATGAAGGATGAGATGAATGAGAACGATTGTGGTTGCAGCTGATTACACCAGTGGCTAATCTTCATGGTTTGGTTAGCCCTACCTCCCATGGTCATATAACTATCTTCAGCATAATGATTAAAGGGACAGTTCACCTAAATAATCAAAGAAGTGACCTATTTTTTCCCCCTCAAGACGTGCAGATAATTCATATGCAGTGGTTCTACAACATAAGTGAATTCAATTTTATTTGAGCACTCAGATCCTTTTAAAATGTTTCCAGTACACTTTGCTGTCAAGTGTTTTCTTCTGGAATATTTATTTGGTTGAAACGAGTTCCAATGAAAACCCTTCACGCAGCAACTTCTGCGGAAATAAGAGATGCTGTTTTATTTTTGCCCAGAGAACCACAAACTAAATTATGTTTGCCTCCGTAGAAGAGAAGGATATCGCAAACACCTTGCAAATACCAACCAAAACAAACCTGTGTGGCAAAAAGTGCAGAGACAGAGTTTAGGTTAGTCTGTATATAAGGATGGAGGATATGAAAGCTCCCCAAAAGTGAAGCCAAAGAACCGCCATCGCCATCTGGTGGCCTGCCACAGTATTGGTGGAAGTCAAAATACACGTCAAAAATACAAACAACAGCGTGCTGTCTCTTTGTGGCATCAGCTGAAAGAATTAGTTGATTGAATCTATTCAGTCATTTTCCAGGAGAAAATAGTGTTAAAATGACAAATCTCCACTGGATCCAGTCTCACAAATGAGAATATGTTTTTGCTTTTATTAGTCATAACTGAACAGTTTAAGGATTTTAGACTTTCAACACATCTCTTACAGCTATGGAAAGTTGAGCAATTATGCATAACAAGAGTCCTGGTCCTTACAGACAGGTTTTCCAAATTTGTTGTGGAAGAATCTGGCCTGCACAGAGCTGATCTCATCTCTACCGAACACCTTTGGCATGAAGTGGAACAGCAACTCAGAGCCAAGCCCTATCACACACCATCAGCGCCTGACCTCACTTAAGTTATTGTGGAAGAATGGGAGAAAATCCCTGCAACCAGGTTCCAGAGTCGTGCGGAAAGCCTTCCCAGAAGAGGGGAGGCCATTACAGCAGCAGATTAATGTTCATGGTTTAGGAAAGTGATTGAATAACTCATGGGTGTAATGTTTGGTTGCACACATACTTTTGGCCAATTCATGTATCAACAACCAGAGAGAGCGAGAGAGAGAGAGAGGGAGGATGTTTTTTCACCATCACCGCGGGGGTTGTGCTTTCATCAGCATCTTCACAGGATTACGCAAAAACGACCAAACCGATTTCCATGAAACTCGGTGGAAGGTTGTGTTATGGGTCAGAAAAGAATGTATCAAATGTTGCTGTGGATCAGGGGGTGGATCTTTCTTTATCATCGCAAGATGGACATTTTTCAATATTTCTGTTGATTTTTCAGAGAATAATTCGTGGATGACGATGAAAAACTCATGTTACTGATATTTATGATCGTGTGACATTTTACTGAATCCAGTGAATTTCAATGTGGTTTCGTAAGGGGACTGTTGGGCGGTGGCGGAGGTATGTTCCCCGCTCAGGGTCATTCTAGTATTGTAATATTATTCAAGTGAACTGACCCTTTAAAAAGCTGGGAAACCAAGGACAACAAACCTTAAGGGCAATGCATCTGCAGTGTGTGTGTGTCTGAATGGCTCATTACATATGGGGTGGTGTTGGTGGGGGGGTAGTGTGAAATGTGAAACAGATGTTACTCTTTTTTTCACGGGCACTGATGTCAACACCTTTGCATTGCCCAGGGAAGTGTGTGTATATGTGTGTGTGTGTGTGTGTGTGTGTGTGTGTGTGTGWGTGAGTGTGAGAGAGAGAGAGAGAGTGAGAGTCTTTGTGTGTGCGTTTGAAAAACCTCATTTGAGGGAAGGTTTCCCATAAACACCTGTTTTGTTCCGGTTAATATCTCTCGTCATAGTGAAGAAATGATGGCCTCAGTGAAAGAGGAGAGAGGGAGACAGAGAGAGAGAGAGAGAGAGGAGGGGAGGGGGTGAGAAAAGAAGGAGGCGGGGTCACCTCCATTCCCCTCCGTCTGTGAAAGAGAAGAGCTCATGTGGGATGAACACATTCGTTTATTCATTCGGCCCGTCTATTTTCAGCCCAGAGGGTTTATGGTTATTGGAAAGGCGTTGCCGTCTCGCTCCTTCCCAGAAGGAGTCAATATTTCTCCCTCTCCTTCATTTCTCCCTCTCTGCCTCTTTTTCTCTAATCCAATATTTTCTCCAAAACACTCCTCTCCCCTCCAAGCGCACCAGCAAGGAATGCTGGGAGACATTTGAGGGAAACAAAGCACACAAGCACAGACCCACAAACATACAAAAGTGAGAGGCTGCAGTGATCCTGCTCCAGAAGCAAGAACTCTTGCTCAGGACGTCTCCCACTTATCGCAGTTACCCATCGCTCCTCTTTCTTGCTTACAGATGCATCTTTATCTCTCTCCGTTCACGGCCCTTGTGGGGCTCTCGAGACCGACTGTGGCCTTTTTTACGACGCTGATGTTTGCTAATGACTTTTTATGATGACTTGTTATGGCTCATAAAAAACCCTGGCTCTGTTACTGGCAAGATCAACTGTAACTGCAGCACAGTGCGGTCCTGATAACACACCCTGGGACTTTTATGAAGTGATTAAAATGAGACAAGACACCATGAGTATGCATGCGAGTGGGAAATGTGTGTAGCCGAGGGAAGGAGAGAGGGGATGGCGCTTGTGATGTGGATGCAGTCATGGCAGTTGTAGGTCAGAGGGAGAAAGTGAGGAGGGAGCTGTTTCATAATGAGTGCACCTCCTTCGTATGGAGAAGATAAATTCCCACAAGCCTTCACCTCCAAATATTGACTTAGTTCCTGAGTTATGAGGGACTGTGGCTTTATTGCTGATAAAAATAGAAGGCAGTCTTGCATGTAACCAGATAAGTTTGGGCCTGAGCCCCCTGCCCCATCATGTCAAGTGTGTTTGTTAGAGGTGGTGGGTGGTTAAAGTCCCAGCACATGTTGCACCTCCTTTCTCGCTCTCCACTGGTAAATGAATGATGGGTGAGCTCCAGTTAGAATTAGCTTTACAGCTCAGTGCAGGGATAAAGGTCAGGCCAAAAGCAGGTTTGTGACCCCTAAAGAATCCTCAGAAGCATCCGTGAATCCTGCGTGGTGGAAACAGATCATACAGACAGACGCACACAGATGCATCATGCTTCACACTCTGGAGTGGGTTCATGCACGTAAATGTGTCAATATGGTTAATATGTGCTGTAATCTCACATACTGATTAAAGATTAATGTGAAAATGTAGATGAAGATGTTTTGACAGAAAATGACAAAATTCAGAACAAACATCGCAGCGGTGCGAGATGATCTGAACGTCTTAAACAAATGATATCTAAAAAAAATGATATAAAAGATTAGAGGATGATCTCTGGTATACTAAATCACTGACTGAGAAGTGCCTGATAACATTGATGCCGTTCTGTGCTGTAACATTAATTATAATAACCAAAGTCACGATAGAGATTTATATATTATGTATGATGAAACTGTGAATTGTTTACGTAATACCAGGAGAGCATTCTGCCAAAAACAGAGTGAAACAACATCATTTAAGACCTGGATAGAATGAAAATGTATCAGAGGCCAAATACGCTTTTAGAAGATGGGTTTTATCAGGAAAAGCATTTAGACATGGCCCAGAGTTTGAACACCTGCGAATGCTCGGCTTCAAATATGCAAGAGGTTTTATTAAAAGACACGAACAGGACATGAGGGAGAGATCTATGTCCAAAAAGCTTCAAGGTAATGTCTGCGCACTTTGATGCAGTTATGCTAGAGCTAAAATGAAAATATAACAATGTAAGGTTTCTACTTTCCACGTGGTCTTGAGACATTTTATGTACAAATTTATGTCTCGATTAACTGATTTGACAAATGTCATCATAATGGCTTTAACTGAGCCTCGACAGAGTGACACAAGGTATCATCTTGTTTCTGGAAACACTGGAACGAATGCCTGTATGTGTCTTAACAATGATCGAATTATTTTGGATTTGTGGGCTACTATGATGTTGTTTGTATTTTATATTAATTCATATATATTAACATTTGTGTCTGCAACAAAGTTGAGGTTGTGTTTTCCCCTGCATCAGTTTTGTTGCTTTTTAGCAAGATTACACAAAAAAGACCAATCGATTTCCAGGCAGGCAGACGTCAGTTTAACACCAGCGCTGCTTAGTAAGAGCACCACCCATGACCAATCAGCTCAAAGAAGTGGAGAGACCCTCCTAAGTAATATTCATAATTTGGTGAAAATCCGTACATGCATTGTTGAGTTATTGTGTACACAGACACTTGGAACTTTAAGGTTAGAAGTTCACCAAAGACATCCAGGAGAAATGTTTATGCTATGATACAAATCAATGATGAGGTTTCTAGCCGGAACATTGTAATTCTAAAATTAAACTGGAGTCTGGCTGAGAACTGCATGACAAGGTCCGGCTGCTGATGATGGTTAAAAAAATTTAATGTTGATTGAGGGAAGACCGAACAGTTCTGTAATGAAGCAACGGTGCAAAGTTAGAGACCTTGAATTAAGGTTGGAAACCTTTGTCACCACCAGGAGGGTTAGTAAGCCTCCCACTGAAGCAACTTTACCTTGTTAAATATCTTCAATTTAACTCCTCCTCCCCTCCACAACCTCAGAGAATGCTGTGTTCTGTTAGGTGTTGTTCTGACATGAAGTAAACTGACTTGTTTGACCGACAGCTAGCAACCAACTTAGTCTCGGATCAGTTTGTATTCACCAATGTACATCTTCAACAGAGGAGCGTATTTGAAACTGTTTTCACGCAGGATTTTCTTTAAATTGTTAAACCATGATTTGGTGTCAAGTAAACCAAGTGAAGCAGCAGCAGCAGCAGTGGCGGTTCTGCCAGGGTGGAGCTCCACAAGAGGCTACCTCAGCATCATCCCCAGGACCAGGTACCCCAATGCCCACGTGGTGGACCTCCGCACCGACTCAGTGACCAAGCCCGGGCCTGCAATGCGCCAGGCCATGGCAGAGGCTGCTGTCAGAAGTGACCTGATCATAGAGGACCCGATAGTTTATGGTAAGAACCGAACCGTGGTGGTAAAATTATAGTGCTATTACTGAAATAACTTTGAATGAATAATTAAAAAGTACAGCACATTTAAATCAGGGGGCTATACAGTGTTTTCATTGCTTTATAGGTCATTATTGAGAATCCCCTGTTGCTCTGTGATAAACAGTTCAGTTTTTCTATTCTGTTCAGAGATTAATTGTTTATATCACTTTTTTTCATGGGCATTCTATTGAGGACACAAACACACACACACACAGACACACACACACAATATGTTAACAGACAAATGATGTCTGCTACTGGTTATATTTTATGTCCATATCTTAAAGAAACAAACCGTTACTACAGAAAGAAACCACATTTCACAATGATAAGAACAGCGGAAGCAAACTTCGGGTGTTGGCTATCTTAACCGGTTGGGTGTGTTTAACTCCACTTACGCTATCTAAATTGTTTTGGCACAGACTACACCGCAAATAATGCAGGTAATGATGATATTTGGGTGGTCCGCTCCTCTTTTCCATATCTGGGCCACAAGTAAGCCATATCAATACTACATGTCGAGCAGAGGTGCTAAATGTTGCTCGCATTAGTTTTGTGCTATGTGGGCCATATTCATCATTTACCATATTTACCACCTTAGGTTTACATCCAGTTCACACCTTGCCTGAAGCACCGCATGTTTGCCACAAAAGCCCCAAATTTGTTCAGGGATAACATTGTGCTCACAGCCACCGGCCTGAAGTGTTTATCTGTGTAACATGATATTTGCAGATACAAAAAGGTGTAGGATCGGCCTGTTTATCTGGTTCCACTGCAAATGTTGATTCATAGGAATCGGTCCTATAGTTTTTCACTAATCCTGTTGACAGTAAAACATACAAATATCAATGAGAAGCATGGAGGTAACAATAGCAGCAGTGGTAGCATTAATAGTAAGATAATTAGTGATGGGCAGATGAAGCAAAGGGGGGGGGGGCACAAACTACAGGAGAAAGAAGACAGATTTGCAGGGTTAGCAGAGAGAAACTTGATGCATGCACATATGCTTTTTGTCCTTGTGAAAATACTGCAAAAATGTCACAGTATTTGCCTATTTTCTGCAGAGCTGCAGAAAACTGCAGCGGATATGTTTGGGATGGAGGCCGCGCTCTTTGTACCCAGTGGATCCATGGGAAACCTTGTTGCAAGTGAGCTGACCTTCAACTGGCAGATTCTAAATCCATTTATTGAGTTCAGAATGGTAATAAATGTGCCTGCTTTTCATTATGCAGTAATGTCCCACTGCTTGGAGCGAGGCAGCGAGATGATTGTGGGCGACCTGTCCCATGTGCACCTTTTGGAGCAAGGATCAAGCGCACAGGTGAGAGCAGAGCGGCAAACACCTGTAGCTGGGCCTCATCTACAGGTCAGTTTGTACCTGTCGAAACTAATGAGTGTGTTTGTGTGCTGACAAAGGTGGCTGGTGTCCACACCACCACAATGACGACGCTCCCTAATGGAACATTTGACTTGGACGAGCTGGAATCAAAGATCCGTCATGGTGACCATCACCCATCGTCCGCCCGCTCACGCCTCATATGTCTGGAGAACACACACAACATACAGGGAGGACGTGTGTTGCCTCTGACCTTCTTGCAGGAGGTGGGAGTGATTCGTTTTTTTACCATACGTGTAGTGGAGAACACATTCATGCTGAATGTCAGGGCCTGTGGATGACACCACATTATTTCTGTTGTCTGTCACCATTTATTTTTGCTGTGTTTACTAATCTGCATATGGATCCTTTCCACTGTACATTCTAGCTCTAGCATCACAGGTTTGATTATCTTCTGACACTCTGTTTCCATCTCCAAGGTTCGTGCTTTAGCGGACAGATATGGTCTGTCAGTTCACATGGACGGAGCCAGGCTGTTGAACGCTGCTGTGGCCCAGGGGGTGCCTCCACACACAATACTGCAATACTCACATTCCGTCAGTATGTGCCTTAACAAGGTGGGTCTTCAAAATACATATGAAAATATTCATTTCTTCATGTATTTTAGAGAAATGTTAAGTCAGCAAAGCCAAGTTGACAAAAAGGTGTGCAACAGGGTCTGGGGGCTCCTGTGGGTTCCATGGTGGCTGGATCCCAAGACTTCATCACCCGAGTGATTCGGTCGCTTTACGCACTGGGTGGACGGATGGGCCAGATTGGTGTACTAGCAGCAGCAGGAAAAGTGTCTTTGCTGGATATGGCGGGCCGACTGAAGGAGGATCACTGCAACGCAAAAACATTTGCTCAAGGTGAGTAGCTTATATGCGTTGCTATAAAAATAATCATTAACCAGCTGCTATTATGTTCCTACTCATAACTAATTTTTGATTGTTTCTTCTCATCACCCAGCTCTGCTCAACTGTGACCCTCCTCTATTCGCCGTAGACATGGCGTCTGTGGAGACAAACATTGTGCGTTTCTATTTGAAGGAGCCCAGTTTGAGTCCATCTGAGTTCTGCGCCCTCATGGTTCATGTTGGAGAGGGAGAGGAGGCTGCACTGGGACAAGGGGTACAAGTTGCAATGAATCCTTTTGTTGGAAACTCAATCAGGGCTGTGTGGCATCTCGGGATCTCCCCTGAAGATACCCAGCTGGCCATCCAGAAAATGCAATTTGTTGCATCTCAGTACTCGAGGGAGAAACTCAGGGCCCAGTGAAACCTGGTGTTTGGCAAGGTGTCTCATCCACGGGAAGATATTTTAGGAGGAAGGTGATGCACAGTATTAACAAATGAATGCTCATGAATGTGCGTTTCACTAACATGACATTTTATTTTATGTATCTTGTAATCAAACAAACAATACAATAAACACACTAAAATAATCCATGTCAATAGGAGATGCATTATGTGATGCTATCAATAGCTTCAAGTCAGTTTTGTCTCTTAGTTATTCAAGTTCATTTGAATCTTTATGTTTTTAGCAAGTAAAGTAAGTAAGTAAACTCTTTTTCGTAGACATTTTTTATACCTTTCACAAAATCAGTAAAAACTCAATTACCTTTTGGTGCCTTGGTCCTTTTCTCTTTTCATTGTACAGGCTGCTTTGGACTATATTATCAGAGAATATGCTGATGACACACTGCTTTTTATTGGCTTTGTACCAAAGTTAACAACTGGTTAGACTGCAGTAAACAAGGGATTTCACAAATTTTATCTGGCCATGAATAGAAATTTTTGTTTTGTTTTTGTTGCACAACTTGGCGGTTTCGACCCCACATGTTGAATCTATTTTCACATGAAAAAGTAACTTCCGCAGCTTTTTTTCATCAAAGAAATATTTAAAATGTATTGCTTTAACTTAACAAACTTAACATTACAAATACTGAAATAGCAAATCCCATGAGTTTCTCTCAACTGACACCCTGTGTATTTTACTTCTTTATAAGGCTCTCATTATATACATTTGTAATTATTTTCATGATCTGTTGGATCCTCTGCTGCTGGTTTTCAAAATGCAAACAATCACACAATCAGGAAAATTGGCAGCTCTTTTTTTTTTAAAAACCATCCACCAAAACCATGTAATTCCACACACAAAATAAGAGATGTAAGTTATGTGACCATTTTAGCTGTGACTAATAAAGGTTTATCTGATCTTATCTTATCTTAGGGTTTGAACTTGTTGTGATTAGCCTGCAGGTTTCATGTTCTTGTTTCTTCACTTGGAGCCACACCCCTTCTATGAAATCTGCAACAACAATAACAATAATAATGATAATAGTAATAATCAATTATTAGTAATGATTACTTTTAGCTACTACTACTACTACTACTGCTACTACTACTACTATACTATATATACTTTATATATTACCACTACTACTACTAATAATAATAACAACAACAACAACAACAACAACAACAACAACAAAACAACAACAACAACAATAATAATGATGATATTATATCATAATATTGTTATAAGACAGTGATCAGGTATCTGCAGACGGAGCATAATTAAATCCACTCTGGAACATTTAGATACTTGTCTCTGTGTTTAATTGGCTTTGTTGGAATAAAAGCGCCATCTTGAGGTCTTTACTGGTGTGTGCAGGTCCATCAGCTGATAGGTAATCCATTAACTGTCCTTGTAGTTACTGATTTAACGTCGTCGATACAAAGTTCGATGTCAAAACGGCACAAATGGAAGCAACGAGAGCATCGACACCATGTCAGTGAAAACTCTCAGCTGCAGACTCTTGTTTCATTCGTTAAAAAACACGATCGTCACTTCAAGTAAAGACCAGCGGGCCCGACATGCTGCAGCTGCTCTGCCGGGACGGAGCTCCTCCTCCCGGGGATACTACATGACCGCGAAGCCCAGGTATCCCGGGCCGGGCGGAGCGCCCGACGTCCGGGTGGTGGACCTCCGCAGCGACACGGTGACCAAGCCCGGGCCCGCGATGCGTCAGGCCATGGCGGAGGCCGAGGTCGGAGATGATGTGATGGGAGAGGATCCCACAGTTAACGGTAAGAGCCGAAAGTTTCATTTGTAACCTGCTGAAATTACTTATTTATAAATGTTCAAACATACTTCACTGCTGCAGGGATTCATTAGTGCTGTCATTAGCTTAGATACATTACTAATGATCAAAATAAGAACATAAATTCGACAATATATAAACTGTGTGAACTGTACTGCCACAGCATGGCACTTCTGTATAAAAACAAAAAAAGTCACAACATTATTAAATATACATATATAATTGTAACTGTGTTTTAACTTATTATTAACATTCATAATGATATTATTATCATTCAAAACTGAACCGGACCTTCGTCAGAGATTTGTCTTTGCAAAACTTAATATAATCATATAAACTACTGTAGGACCAATAATATACACTCCTCCTTAATTGCATAGTGTATTAAAGGGATAGTTCACTGAAAAATGAAAAATGATCTTCTCACCAGTGTGCCGATGGAGGGGTGGGTGAGTCCTCAAAACACTTTTGGAGTTTCAGGGGTAAACAGAGTTGCAGTTACATCCAATACAATTGACATTAATGGTGACTCACAAAAAAAAACATATAACCACACTGGAAATGGCGTCATTTACACCAGGTTTTAAGCCTGTCCCACGTGTCCTACTACCTGAATTCACCTACCAGAGAGTAATTTGGTGCACGCACAGCTGATTTACTTTTACTTGTCTTACAGTTTTTGGTTTGTTTCTGCAGAGCTACAAAAAATCGCAGCGGATATGTTTGGGATGGAGGCCGCGCTCTTCGTCCCCACTGGAACCATGAGTAACCTCATCGCAGGTGATCCCAGCTTTTACTGGCAAGAGTGTAAAACCAGTTTGATGAGTTCAGAATGGTCATAAATTTGCACGCCTTTCATTATGCAGTGATGGTGCACTGTCGGGAGAGAGGCGACGAGATGATTGTGGGCGATGTGTCGCACATACACATCTATGAGCAAGGAGGCAGTGCACAGGTGAGCGTGCCGGAGCAGCACACGTCTGTAGTTCGGGCCCTCGTCTACAGGAACTAAAAGTGCTCCTTTGTGTTAACGCAGCTGGCTGGTGTCCACGCCACCACGGTGACCACGCTCCCCGATGGGACATTTGATTTGATGCAGCTGGAATCAAAGATCCGCCACGGTTACCCTGACCCCCACTACCCCCGCACACGCCTCATATGTGTGGAGAACACACACAACATACAAGGAGGACGTGTGCTGCCTCTGACCTTCTTGCAGGAGGTGGGAGTGGTTTGCTTTCTTCACTTATGTGTAGTGAATGCTACGTCTACTGAGATACCTGCCTTATTAAAGAGAGTATAACTTAGCATCACAAGTTTGATCATCTTCAGATGCTCGGTTTCCATCTCTAAGGTTCGTGCCCTTGCAGACAGATACAGTCTGTCGGTTCACATGGACGGAGCCAGGGTGATGAACGCTGCTGTAGCACAGGGGGTTCCTCCACACGCCATCCTGCAGCACACACACACTGTCAGTGTGTGCCTCTCCAAGGTGCGACTGAAAAACACAAACACTCGAATTTTAGAGAATTTATACATGTTAAAAACCGACAAAGCATTTGCAGAAAAACTAACATTTCACTTCACGGTGTGTATTAGGGTTTGGGTGCCCCTGTGGGTACCATGCTGGCCGGACCCAAAGACTTCATCGCCAGAGCGTTGCGGTGCCGTAAAGCTCTGGGTGGGGGGATGCGGCAGGCGGGTGTACTAGCAGCAGCTGGAAAATTGTCTTTACTGGATATGGTGGGACGACTGGAGGAGGATCACCGCAACGCAAAAACCTTCGCTCAAGGTGAGCAGCTGATGTTTATGTTTGAAATGTAATCATTAACTGGCCGCCATCATGTTCCCTGCTCATAATTCTTCCTTGTCTCTTCTTCTCGCCAGCTCTGCTTGACTTTGACCCTCTATTTGCTGTTGACATGGCGGCCGTGGAGACAAACATCCTGCGTTTCTATTTGAAAGGGCTGAGTTTAAGTCCCGTTGAGTTCTGTGCCGGCATGGCCCAGGTCGGCGAGGGAGACAAGGCTGCATTGGGACAAGGGGTACAAGTTCTAATGTACCCTCATTTTGGAAACTCAGTCCGGGCTGTGTGGCATCTCGGGATCTCCCCTGAAGATACCCAGCTGGCCATCCAGAAAATGCGATTTGTTGCTTCTCAGCACTTGAAGAAAGAACTCAAAGCCCAGTGATGTTTGATGGAAGGTCTAATCAATATGACTGATTAGACTTTAGTCCCTTTGGATCATGGACCTCTTTATATCCATAGTTTATTTTTGCCATTTTCTTATTGAATTAAATTTAACGATCCCATGTCTCTTGTCAGAGTTTGTTTTATTATTTCAAGTAATTTTGCATTAAATGTCATGTCTCATATTGAAGACACAGAAGATATTAGCCTAATCCCAACTCATTTCAAAGAAGAAAAAACAAATAAATTCAAAGAGTGAAAATGATGTTTAAGACCCAGAGAACCTGTTTTCTCAACCTCTAAATATATGAACATGAGGGTTTGAAGTGGTGTGGACACAAGATGGCGCTGCTAATCGAAGGTCATGTAAGGTTGGAGCTCAGCATTTTTACCTCTAGTCTTTAAACTGCGTGTTTAACACCAGACGTTGGTATCCAGCCCTAAATAAAGTAATGTGTCTCTACGTAATCTACGTGTTCTACGTAATTATGGTGCGGGATCTTATGTAAAACAGTTCGTCAGTCAACACCTAATGGGATTTCTGATAATTTCTTCCACTTGTCTCCCACTTGTTACACAGGATCTTGTTCTACATTTACAAAGCTATTGTAGAAATAACAATCCAGGTGCGTGACTCATTCACCAGTTTGCTCCTTCCTGCAAAATCCAAAGACTATTATTAAACCATGTGTTTCCGCAGCAGCAGCTAAACGTGTTACTTGTCCATTAGTGGAATTCACGCCAAACAAATCAAAAAGAACTGGCAGCGGTGGGATTCGAACCCACGCCATCGAAATGACTGGAGCCTAAATCCAGCGCCTTAGACCACTCGGCCACGCTACCACGATGACACCTATGTAACCGACAATATGCTATAAAGGTACATCTGGCTCCACCCAACACAGGTTGTTTTTAGCATTGTGAAGCTGCTAAATATAACGGAAGTACTGTAGCCAATACATCACGTGTGTTGACGCTCCATTTCAATCAGGCGCTCTTCTAATGTGACGCTATGCTAACACACGCATGCTTACTGTAGCCAGTGCTGCTTTCAAATGCTCCTCCGTTACTATGAGTAAAAACGCGTTTCTGCTTGAAACAACCGTTTTAACTATATCGTTTACATTTTACGTGTATTGTTGTATTTTATTACACACGTTAAAAGTAGTGGAATTAACTGTTTTCTATATGTTTGTATCTATTTGTTTGTTGTCCCCTAAATAAGATAAATACTCGGCTAACAGCAGTATTGAAAATGAAATTTGGTCTGCTTGATTAAATGTACTAGCTGCGTTCGATTGTTCCTCTCCCATGTTGTTCGGTGATATTTACGACAGCCCTGAATGCAGCAGCAGTGGAGGGGCGTGTCTGTCGGGGATCTGGTGCTACGTGCATCGGGCTCCGGTCGCTGTGGTGGATCCACGTCCCGATCACAGGCTCGATCCCCGGAGAGGCGGTGGACGGTGGAGTTCCAGAACCGACCGAGTGTGGTTTGTCCCCGGCAGGAGACTTTAACCTGCAGCTAGCGACGCCTGGTGTTTGTAACCGAGAGACGGAAGAGAAGAGGTGAGTGGGAGAGTTCACATTCTGATGAAGTGAGTGAAGCGGGGCCTCGGGGTGATAGTCTGTCTGTTCGGTAAATACATGTTTCTAACACACATACACACACACACACACACATACACATACAAGAAAGTAAAGTGAATCCTTCAGTGGGAGGTTGTATTGCAGAATAGCTCAACACGATCCATGCTGCTGCAGGACTTCAGTGGGAGCACATTGCAGCAGCAGTAGTAGTAGCACAGGACTGTCAAGTGTTGTGATAGTATCTCTGCACTCCAGAAAGAATAGAAAAGTGCTGACAGATGCTGGATATCATCAATGTAATGAGCTAAATTGGTTTTGCATGCTGATGCTCACATTTACTGCTTAAATCAACATTTATATCAGTATTTATTTTCTCTAACTTTCTCTCACATTGTATAAATTGCTGTGCAGCCATGATGCAGACTTTTTGTGTACACGTCCCCATCATGGCTGCTATAGATGAACTCCCAAGTGTGTTTTTGTGGCACTCCCCTGCCTCCTCTCGTCTGCCGGACAGCAGACTCCACCATCTCTCTCCACATTGCATGTCTATGAGCCCTTTGTGTGTGTGTGGTTGTGTTTCAGGGGTTAAAATGCATGTAAAAAGAATTTCCCCTTGAGGGATTAATAAAGTATCTCTTCTCCAGACATCATGGAGGACGACCTGATGTTCACCATGGAGGAGGATGGCAGCGCCAAGAGACCCCCCGTCCAACGAGGTGCCCACAGCCAGCGGGCATCCTCCCTGAGCGAGGCCAACGCCAGTGATGACGAGGACGAAATCATCTGCCCCATCCTGGACGACTCCGCCGTAGAAATCTGTCACTACCTGAAGAACCTGGTGTACACCCGGCAGCTGTCGAACTCTCTTCCTAAGAGCAACTTCATGTACAAGGTGAGAAGTTGCCCCAGCAACGGGATGCAAGATGATGCTCATGTGTAAAGTCAGGCGACAGTTAAAAATAGAGCTCTGGATGATTATTTTAATATCCCTCCAGAGAATTTGAACAATCTGTAGTTAGTGTGTTGTGGTTGTGCTCCATCACAGACCCCTGTTCTGCAATATGCTGCAAGAACAGCTCTTTACCCTATAAGGAAACATGGTCTATGTCCACAAACCACAGTGTATGCTATGTATGTGAATGTCCAACTCATCATTTCACTCTGACAAGAACGGGAAGTATCATAGTGTATTTCACATCATGTGATTATGTGATATTGAAGCTCAACCAACCAACTACAGGGATGAACAGCCTGTTTTTAGTTGTTGTTTACAGCATCTAAAGCCGCACATTTCTCCATTTTTCTGCGTAGAATGAAACAGAAACAGTGGCAGAACCTCGCTCGTACAGGGTTTTGTCTGAGAGCGCACGGGTACGTTACAGATTAAATTATATCTTTCTTCTCTCCCTCCTCACCAGTGACCATCCACGCCTCCCTTCTCCTACTCCACTCTGCAATTAACGTCCTTTTCCTACTTTTACGATTTTTATTTTCACAGCAACATACTTTTTCTCTCTTCCAATGACTTGTTTTATGCTTGTGTTTTGTGTATCCTAATCAATGCATCCTCCTTTTTCCTTCACTTAAAACATCACTAACCATCAGGAATGTTATATTTTTGTTGACACACAAAAAATAATATTACTTTTTGGTTTTGGTTTCAGAAAACTTATTTTTAATCAAGTTACTACAGTTTTTTGTTTTTAAAGATGACTACAGTCTCAAAAAGAAATGTATCCGGGTTGTGCATTTCAGTGCCGTAGCAGGCTTTACCGTTTGTGTCTCTCACCCCCCTTATACCTTGTAGTTCAAGGTGCACGAGGTCTGACTGGAGATGCATCGTTTGCTCCTCCTCAAAAACAGACGTGACACTCAAAAACAAAACATGACCCTCCATGTTTCTCTTTATGTATATGCTTTGCTCTAAATATAAACATGTCTCAAATGCCTGCGGGACAGAGACCAGCATACGAGGAAGACGTGCTGCTGTGCAGTATAGGGGGGGTGGGGTGGGGGGCTAACTGCTTGGGTTACTGCAGCAGGTTTAGATTACCAGTAACACTTAGGTCCTACTAAGAAAGTTATTTATTTTATATGGCAGACCTGCAGATGGCCATTAATTATGCCATGGGGATTATATTCATTTTGAGGTGGCTGTAAAATATTTAAGATATTATGAAAACATAGAGACTTTGCTGAACCCCAGCTAATGTATTTACCATAACACCGGCCTTGTACTGAAGTGTGATGTATTATTTCATTAGTTCATTAATCAGTTCCATTTTATTATTTTATTTTAATCATTGTGTGATACCTTTGTGCTTTAATCTTTTAAAATCATTACTTTTTCTTCCTTCCTCCTCCATTTTTGTTTCTTTCTCCTGTTATAAAGTGCTTCACCCACAAGTTGACGTTAGTTTGTCCCTGACAAATCATTTGCATTGTAGCTGATTATAAACAAATAGAAATACTGAACGAATAAGGGGAAGCTGTTCAGTGGAGAAACAGTGACATTTAAATTTGCCCCATTAGTGACCATAGTGTCGTCACTTAAAGGCTGAAAATGACTGTGATGTGGAGAAAAGGCACAAAACGGACTCTGTCATACAAACAATATTTCACAGTCTTTGCATTGAACAGCTTTCCCCTGTGTATTCTGGCTTATCTGTTTTGGAAACTGACTGTTCCCTTTTTTTTTTTTTTGCACGAATACAAATACTGCCAGCTATAAGATATGTTTCCTTATCATGATAGGATGCATGGAAACATGCAATTGAAAAGGCCAAAGCCATGCCCGACCCCTGGGCCCAGTTTCATCTGGAGGAAATCGAGACAGAACCCTGCATTCGTTACAGGTAAGATTAACTGTGTTGCAGTGGATCAACAGCAGTAATGGAACTTTATTCTTGGCAGATCATTGACTCATGTGCTTTTTTCACTCCCGTTTTAGCTTTCTTTTGGTCTTTACCAACCCCTAAGGGAAATAACAAATAAGGGAAAGTGCACAGTCCAACATTACACAATGTCATCTGACTCATTAAGACAAAATATTTTCAAGATAAAAATATTGATAAGAGCAGCTTTAAAGTATCAGCGTCATTTAACATGGTAAATAGTTAAGCAGTAGTTGAGAATGAGAGATTCCCAGATTGATATTAGCCCTGAGCTCTCACTGAACTTGAAGTAAGACTTCCCAGTGGGCTCGTATCTCGGTCAGTGGTGCTAATCTCTTTGTTGACAAACATTACTGGCCCCTTCAACGGGCAGATGAAGCACAGATGACCCTTTTTGTTATCTCATATTGTTGGCAGGGTTACAGCTTGTCCACTCAGATATTTATATTTTCAGTGTGACCGCTTATAAAAAACAAACATCTTGCAGAGTTCTGACACGTTGCATCAAGGCAGCGACACATGATGAGGTGTGTGCAAAACAGCAGGGAAATAGATTCCTTTGCCTGTGTGTGTGTGTGTGTGTGTGTGTGTGTGTGTGTGTGTGTGTGTGTGTGTGTGTGTGTGTGTCCAGTTTGGGCGTGGAGCCCGTCGACCGGGACGTGATCAGAAAACCTCCTCGTAACGTAAGAGACAGCATCATCACCCGAAGTCTGATCATCAAAGTCCTGGTGTCTGCGTTCGTCATCGTCTGTGGGACTCTGTTCGTCTTCTGGAGAGAGGTGTCTTCTCCTTCTTCTTCTTCTTCTTCTTCTCCTTCTTTCCAAGACTTTAATTCAAATTCTAACTTTACTCTTCGCTCTTCAGTTGCAGGACAACGTGATCACTCCTCGAGACACGACCATGACCTTCACCTGCTTCGTCTTCTTCGACATGTTCAACGCTCTGAGCTCGCGCTCACAGGTGAGACGTTCTCCCCGGTATCGTTCTTCGTATGTGAGATGATGATACGAGCGTGTGACGTGTGATCGTGTGTCGTCATCCTCAGACTCGTATGGTCCATGAGATGGGTCTGTGCAGCAACAGGACGTTCTGTTACGCCGTGCTGGCGTCCATCATGGGCCAGCTGCTCGTCATCTACTTCCCTCCGCTGCAGAACGTCTTCCAGACCGAGAGCCTCAGCTTCTTCGGTAAGAGTTTGACCTTAAAGGAACACGTTAGCACGTTAGCACGTTAGCTTGTCAGCATGTGTAAAGACTGAATTGCTCTGAAACATGTTTTGACAAAGTTAAACTGTGACTCAGCAGTTTGTCTGTGACGCTGTGACTCAGCAGTCTTGTTTGTCTTGCAGACCTGCTGTTCCTGGTGAGTCTCACCTCGTCGGTGTGCGTTGTGTCGGAGGCCATTAAGAAGGTGGAGAGGTGGAGGGGGGTTCAGAGGAGCCCCCCCACTGACTGTTTCCATGAGGTATGACCACCCCCCCATCACTGCAGCCGGGGCCGAATGACTCTGACCTTTGGAGGGCGAAGAGAACGGCTGAAGGTGGCGGGTTTTGGGATCTTACCGACTCATTCAGACTGAAAGCACTTGTGGGATTTTCCCGCGAGATCCTCGGACTCTGGTCTGCGACTGGAGGAGACGGAGTGAGGCGAGAGGAGGGGGACGGCTGCCGGTGTCCTGACTCTGTACTCGGCGTATTTCATATCGAACCACGGCCCCTCTGTGCTCCTCCTCGCTGTAGATCCCTGTTGAGGTAAAACGCCGCGGACCACCGACCACACCCTCCCACGTGAACCGGCTCGTGACGTAGGACGTAGGTTAGAAAACCCTCGGATGAATCAAACACTAGAGACGTGTGCAATTGTTTGTGTTCGGTCTTTTTTAAACTGATCTTGTAAAAGGGGGTGTGACCACGTCAGACAACTGGTCTGAACCAGCGGCGGGTTCACAACATGGTGGAGGTGTGACGGTGCGGAAACAGTTCGATGCTCCAGCTTCATTATCAGCGATGGAAAGAAAAGGTTCCCTGAGATCTGCTGTAAAGTGAAAACAGTGAAATGTTTAAAAGAAATAAAATGTGACAGATTGAACGTTTCAAACTTTTCTCACCTGAGATCTGGAACAAACTCCTCAAAACAGATTTTGAAATAGTTTCTGGTTTTTTAAATCTCAACAAACAACGTAGAAGTTTTGGGAACTTATTTATCATTAATGAATCTTTTGCTCATTTAACACTTATTGATGTTCTCTTTCTATCAATCTTCAGATTCTGTCGTTATAAAGAGAGAAGCTGTCGTGACTTTAACTCACAGAACAAACGTGTTCACGAGTCGTTTCTGGGGAATAAAAGTAGCGTCACACCTCCACCACACGGGCTTTTTCCTGCGATTCATAGAAAAGAGATTTTCATGCTTCTTCTTCTTCCACTGGTTTATTTAAAATTAAAACTCTGCTGCTGTTTGAAGGTGGAAGGAGAAAAAATACATTTTCTAACCTGCTGAGTTTTACGTTGACGTGATGTCGAGGCGCCGCCGCCGCTTCAGGTGCAAACACAAACTTCAGTCCTGACGCGCTCTCATCTTGTGCCTTAGAGAAGTCGTTCATCGTCTGTCTCCGTGGAAACGGACGCCCTTTACTCACGGATGGTGTCTCTGTTCAGTCGTGATTCATTTTGAGATTCTCCCCAAAGTTTAAGCCACGATAATTTAATTTCATCTTCTTTGTTTATCTTTTTTGTTTGATCAGAATTTTCTTCCACCTCCGATCACTGTCGAGGAGTCGCAGTGCTTTCTGGGAAATGTAGTTTATTTTTGCTGTCTCTGTGATGAAAGTTTTGATTTTAAGATATTTTTTAATTTATTTCCAAAAGGCACATGTGGGCTGTAAAATCACTCTGCTGCTGTTTCCAGCGTTAAATCCTCTTTTTTGTCGTATTGTTCATGAAATAAAAGACGATTTATCTGAAATAACAGCAGAGTCTATTTTTCTTTCTTCCAAGTTTTCGTCTCTCATGTCGGTAAATTAATGAGATTTTATTTCAGCAGATATATTAAAGAGTTTTTTACAACATGAGTCTTATTCTTGTAGCTTTTGTCCAGAATCGACTGATTGAGGTGTAAACAAAAAACTAAACAGAAACTAAGAAGACGTTCATGTGTAAAATGTGGATTGAGCTCCTCATCAGCCACAGTGAACATGTAACACGTGAAGTACATGTAGACTGTCTGTGGTACTGTGAGTACTTTGCTCCTACGGGTCAGGTTGGTTCTGTTGAAGCTCCAGCAGCTGACAAAGGTTCATCCTCTGAGGAGAATCTAGATCTTTCAGAAACTCCTCAGAGGATCTTGTGGGTCTCTGAAGACCCTGGTCCTCCTCAGAGACTGGAACGATCCACAGCAGCTCCACGATAACAACATGATGTCATGGTTCAAAGGAAGGGACTGGTCAGTGGGCGGAGCTTT